CTTAGATTCCGATTATTATAGGTATCATAGTGAATTATAATTACTGTTTTCATGTGTGTTTCCCCTGCTAGACCGAGAACATCATGTACAGTAGTTTGTCCCTATTTATTCCCACCAAGCCTGGTACATCCATAGAAAGTGCTTCATCACTATTTGTCAGATAAATGAACATATCAGAACTGTGTCACTTCTTGTCAGGTGAGTAGAACCTAGGCACTCAGGAAGGGTACTGTACCATTCAACACCTCTTCCAGTGTGTAGATGTCTCTTTGCTTGACTTACTCCACTGATCCCCTTCCCAGGGGCCTACATCACACCCTCTGCCGAGATAACCCCACAGAAGACCTCCCACATGTGTTCCCGAAATGTGGGAGAGACATCTTCTGTCTCCTGTTAGGGGACCCACATCGGAGCGCTTGTTCCGAGAAAGGAGAAGAGGATGAGCAATCCATCTCCCATTCAGAATTCTAGTCACTGGGGCATTTTACCTTTCTTTCAAGGATATGCCGTTAAAATCCATTCCTGTTTCCAAAACAGCAACTACAAAAGCTGCTGCTCCCAGTCAACAAACTTAGTTTGCATTTTTCCCCCCAGATCTGGGGCAGAAAGTGAAGGAAGGAAAAATAAATCACGTGGCTAATAATCTGTTAAGGGCAAAAGTTTTCCAAGTTTCTCATCAGCTCCTACTCACCTTCCATCCTAACACTAATACTACCACTAATACTACCAGTACTACCAATACTACTAATACTAATACTAAGATTGTCACATTTGAGGAAACTCTTGATATACCAGCCCCACAAGCTCACAGTCAAATCTGAGACCCTCCAAGGAGAGAAAAATCTAACATACATGGATTACAAATGTGATGACTCAACGCAACGACTGCCATTGACCCAGGAGGACAGGCGGCATCCTAACAGGATGTCTCCTAACAGGAGACATCTCTGGGGAGAAAATCTGTTGAGCAGGGCCTCCCAGGTCAGACAGTACATGAGGGAGCATGAGTGGGGTGGACAGAAGCCACATCTTTGATAAGGAATTGTTTTTTACCCATCTACCTCCTTTCCAAACTGGGGCTTTTCCCCCCAAGGTCCCCAGCCTTGGTACTTCTGGTCCAGAACTAGCCAATATCAGACCACAATAGCAACTGAGATCCATGTGCAGGGAGAGAGCAGGATACAGTGGGACATTTCCAGCTTTAATTTCGCCCCAGTCATCACGAGCCCTTGAGCAAATAACCTGGTCTCCCTGAGCCTCTGCATCCTCCCCACCAAAAAGAGGGTAATTATTTACTTCTCGGTATCACTGAGAGGATTAAATGAAATAATAATGCGAGCTCTCATCTACTGAGTGTTTACTATATACCAAGCACTTTTGGAAGCACTTAAGTATGTTATAATTCACTAAATATTCAAAATAACTTGATATGGTGTTGCTCTTATTTCTCCCATTTTACAGATGAGGAAACGGAGGCACAGAGATGTTAAGAAGCTTGCCCAAGTTTGCACAGCTGGTAAGACACTACAGTAAGTTCACGTATACTGAGGACTCTACAGTGTACCTAGTGCTTGTAGGTGCTCAATAAACAGGGGTCTCTCCCCCTTCGTAAAACAAGACAACTTTACCTCTACCCTGCGCTGTGCAGTTGATGATTCTGGCCACTTTGCCATTTCTGAAAAGGAGAACAATTTGTTTCAAACTCTAAATAGCTCTCTGGGTGCAATGATCCTCCTCTCAAAGGCTGGCCTTTCACAGACGGAGCTACCCATCTCCCAGCCAAGAGTTTTGGGAAATTCACTTAACACCCGCAACCCCAGACCACAATAATAGCATTAGTAAGGCTACAACCATACGACCATTCATTTTATATGACCACTAGACGGTTCTTCTAACGTCATAAATATTCTACCATGTCTTTTCACCTCCCTTAAGAGTTCTTTCATTATCGGCGTTGGCTAGCCAGAAGGCACTGAAATGTTCCACTGATCTCCTATGGGATGCATCAAAAAAACCTTTTTTTTAGCTCAACTGCCATAGCCTATATTTCTTTTTCTTTATCCTAATCACGTGTGATGTATTCTTAGGTAGAGTATTCAGACAGACAAAACAAAACAGAGTTGCATCATTTTACAAATGGAATTTTCAGTCTTGTTTAATAGAAACTATCGAAATAGCTTCATCCCTATTCCTGGACCTTTTTGGGAACGGCATGTTTTGGAACTAGGCTCGAGACCATTAAAGACTATGGACTTTTAATTGAAGAGTTGGTTGTTTTAAGAGACAATAGGCCTGCCAGAATTCATGCTCTCTGGAGAGAAAAATAAAAACATCCATGAGTCCCAGTCACCGAGAGCATTTCCTGGCTCGATCCCTGGCCACTCTGGGTGACCCAATCACTCCCAGATGTCTTTCCTTCTGTCTTCTTAAGACAAAGCCTCCTCAGTCTGGTGGAAACTCAGCTGCTTCCATCCACAACACCTTGTCCTGAAGTCTACCCAGTCACTGGAGGGATCTTTCCCTGTTACCCCTGTGCTTCAATTGTTCGGTACAGTGAGTCACCGCTAACATGAGATCTAGGCTCTAAAGACAACACCAAGGCAGGGATTTTATTCAAATTGCCTGTGTGAAGGTGCCATGGTTGAGATTAACACCTCTCGTAAGTTTAGCCCTGTCAAGGGTGCTCCTGCACAGGGACAAAAGGTGTCTGCTCCACGGACCTGAGGCAGCAACGTAGGAACAGAGATGGATGGAGAAAGTAGCTGACTCAAAACTCCAGCTGGAACTGACTTTCACTGGGCGGAAGAGAGGACCAAATGACTCATACCATTTTCTCATTCATATTCTCCCTCCCTCCTTCCCTCCTTCCCTCCCTCTAATCTCTCACTATGTTCTCCTGACCACTTCCTTCACTCTGGACCCTGCAGATCTTCCCAGGAATCCTGCTCTCCACAGCTCCATTGTTCTACTCACATTGTCTCTCTGCCCAGAATGCCTGGATCCTACTTATTGCCCCTCTTCTTGGAAGCTGCTCCATGGCCTTGTAATGACCCATCCATCTCTTAAAGCACTGAACCAATGGGATCACCATCACCCAGTTGCCCCCTCCCACTCACACCATACACACTGGGAGAGCAGCCTGGTGCCCAGTATTTCCTTGACTCGAACAAGGAGGGAATGTACATCCCAGCCCAGGCAATAATGAACTAGGAGAATTAAATTACCACAGCAGCTCCCTTCTGGTTCAAGTCACTGAGCCCTTGTTAACCAAATTCAAACCTTGGCTTCCACTAGTAGTTTACTGACTGTGCCTTCTACTCTGTGCCTGGCTCTAGTCAGACATCTGGGGAAATCCAATGTAACAGAAACCACAGGTTTGTTTTTGCGTCTCTACTAATTCGATTATCAAGTAACATTTCTCTGGTGCTCCTTTGGGGACAGCTTTGGGCCCAAGAGTATAATGAAGGTTTAATGGGAAATTTTGAGAGAACAGAGGGCCACCTTGAAAATAACTCATCCTAAGGAGAGGCTCAGAGCTTTGGTCCAAAGACCCTGCTTCTGAGATTGAGAGAATCTCCTCACCTAGTCTCTAGCTCTTATGTCTGAGTTCCAGGAGGATGAAATTCCAAGAAAGGCTGAAACAGCCCCCAAAACTATAGCAGCAAGAGAATGTTTTCCCATCACGTAAAATTATCTACAATTCAGAACAAATTCCCAACATCTACAATCTGCCTCAAGATAAAACAAATCCACGTATTTTTGTTTCATGTTACTTTTTTTTTTTCCTAAAACACTTTTTGGAAGACCTCTTTGAAACTAAAAGTAATGACCTGATAATTTATGAACCTTCTTTGGAATTGGTTTCTCTAATAATCCCAGGAGGTCCTTCTTACTAATGTTAAAAAATTCCAATATCCATTTCATCAGTTTGAAGTAACTGTCTAAGCTTGGCAAAACATTCGCAACTTTAATCTACCTCTCTTGTCCTAAGTAAAACTAATGCTAATTAATATTTAAGTGGTTTGGAGGGAATATTTACGTGTGCGTGGGAGGGATGACATCACCTTTCCTCCAATAAATGCAAGACAAAACAGAAAAAGAATCTTAGTATTACTTTCTTTTGATGAATAATAGATTATTTATCATCGTAAGTAAGAGTGTCCTAGTGGAGTCACTGGTTCATGAGGAGATGTTTCTTTCATTCCACCCAAACTTTTTTTTACAGTTATAAATAAGGGACACAGTATAGCATTTTAGAGAATACCTATCAAAACGAGTGACTGTTTTGGAGAAATGGCAATAATAATCACACGGAGGGGCTTTCTGGCCCCAAGGCTAAAGCAATCTTTCAGGAAGAATTGCCTCGAAAGGAAGCCGTTCTCTGAAATGCGGCGAAGGGATGCAGGGCTGGCACCTTCATCCTGAAAGAAAGCTGAAATAAAAGGCTGGCGAAGAGGAAGCAAGAGGCCTCTGTGCGGTCCACCTTTAGCCTGGGAGATTCATGGACTGTGGGAGGAAATCCTGAAGCAACAGAGACTGCCCAGCGCTTGGATCAGGCAGCCCCTCCTCCCCGCTCCTGCCACAGACCTATCGCTTGCTGTTAAAGCAGACGCCACTGTTCAGTGTGGAAAAAATAAAAAGAACCTTTATGTAATGATCACTCCGACCAGATGAATTGTCCCAAACAGTTAAATGTTGGCAACTACATATGGTTCAACCTAATACGGCGAGTAAACATAAAACACGCAAATACAGAAATTAGAAATATCGGTTAAACTGTGAAATATGTGGAATTGCAAATAGAACAAAAACCAAACTATCCCCTCAAAATAATAGCTGTTGTTAAAATTACTGTATAATATACATTTTTTTTTAAGCCACAAAATATCATTGTAACCCACCGACTCTTTGGTGGAGAAACCTGTACATTCAGGCTTTGGGCCTGGAGTCAAGACAAACGAGCTTTTCAGAACAATGTCGTGAAAGGGGAACTGACTCACCTAGACAGCAACAGCTGACCTTGAAGCTGCAGGTCAGCGGCACAGTCCTCGGAACGGCAATTCCTTTCAAAAACAGTCTGCGAGAGAGACACGACAGGACGGTCAGAACAGGATTTAATGGCAAATGAGTGAACAACAGCTAAACACTTTCTTCTAAACCAAGAGAATTCTCCCGTGAGCCTTTCAAACCGTCTACTCCCTGGCATGGTGAGGGGTCCTCCTCAGGCTCCGAGGAGACCCCAAATCAATGGTGGTCTTGCCTGCAGAGTGAATGCCTTACCTGATTCATTTCTCAGTCTGCTGAAGAGCTTCCTCAAGGAGTTTTTCAAGAAGGTTATATGACAGGTGTCCTTTCCATCTTTGTCTGAGAATATCTTTAATGCCCTCAGATGTGAGTGAATAAAAATCCAGTTGAGTAAAGAATTCTTAGATTGTAGTCTGGTTATTCTCCTCTGTTTGCTGTCTTGGGGAGGCAGAAACTCTAAAACTGAGACGGGTTCTGCCTGAGCAATGGGATCATATTATAATTTTTAGTTCCAAAGAGAAAGTCAAAGGCAATCAGACTGTGAGGCTGAGGGACCACAACGAGGCTGGAGGAATACTTTCCTGTGTCTTGGTGGGGCAGCTGGTAGTGAACAAGGACACATGTCCTTTTTGTAACCAAGATTGGGCTTTGACAGCCAAAGCCCCACCCACTGCTGGAGCCTAAAGTTCGGCATGCCAAATCTGACAACTTTCCAGAGGGCCTGGCGTGTGCCTGAGTCCGGCCTATCTGTGGGGGTTGGCTGGGGAACCAGACGCAGTGTTTTGGGAGGAATTATAGTTTTCTCCTCTCTGTAGTGCATGGTGGGCTTGTCAGTCTCTCCCTCAATCTGGTGTCAACCTCTTTGAGGTCTCCCATCTACAGACAGAAGGCTCCCCATGTTCCAGACTGATGGACCCTTCACGACTGTGACATGGCTCTGCTGGTTTCAGTGGGATTTAAGAGAAAAGAGCCTATTCTCATTTTTTAGTTGTGTTATTCACTATTAAACTCCTTCATCATCCTTGCTCATGTTTGTGAGCCTGCCCCACCCACAAACATGGTTCCAGGGGATTTGTCTCCCCACACCCTCCACAGACAGCCTCTCAGACATGGACTCCAGCAAACTCGCTGGCCCATGGACAGTCTAGACCCAACCAGACAGAGTAATTTGCCTACGGAAATTCATATTCCTGTGTCACATTTCCAAAAGAATAAAGTATCCCAGCCAATATTCTCTGCCTTGACTGTGGGGGAAAAACTCACGAAAGTCTTGGGCAACAAGAAGAAATTCTTGTGTTCTTTTAGACACTGGGGCAAGAACACCACCAAATTTCTAGGAGATTTCCATCTGAGACACTTGTGCTTTATTTGCCAGGGAGAAAACAGGAAGTGGACGTGAGGACCAGGTGAATATCTCAGGTGAGGGAAGGAGGCCTTTTGAATTAGAATTGAGGTAAAAACACCAACGGTGGCTTTACCACCAAGTCAATGAAATGTAAGCCGAAGGTCCCTACTGATGTGCCCCTCCTGAGGACCTGAACCTAACTTTGTATTCATAACTTCACTTTTTTTCTTTTTTTCTTCAAGATCATCTTTCCTCCCAAATTGTATAAGCTTCAGGCCCCACAAAACCCAGCTCTGCCCCTGGTGACAGGCTCCTCCTTCCACGTGTCTTTCCCATTTCACAGGCAGGAGAGAAAGTCTGACTTCCCCACCTTTGGGGTGGGGTGGGGGCTGTAAGCAGATGAGAACTGAGGAAGAGGATGTAAATCCATTTGTGTCATACGATCTGGCAAGATCTGGTCCCTGCCCTCCTCACCTCTGTCACTCTGGCTCTCTCGTGCCAGCTGCTCCTCAGATTGGCCTAATAACTTCCCATCTCGGGGCCTCCCCACAAGCCAGTTCCTAATTCCTCCACCTCATGCACCCAGGTGTCTCCTCGTCCTTCAATGAGCAAATCAGAACCATGTCCCTGAGCTCCTGACGAGCTCCTGCCCCTGCTGTAAGCTCTGGCAGTTCCATGTACTTTTCCCTTCCACTGCTCTTCTTGGTTGTAACTAAGTAATTTTGTCATTACAAGTTTCCTGCTCATCTCCCCTGCTAAGATGATGCTCCATAGGATGGAGACTGTAATGGTCCCATCTCCTTCAGAGCCTGGCATATAGAAGCCATCATCTCTTATTTCACTCTGGTTAAAGGAAGCTAAACTTTTCATATCAGGAGACAACTGTTTCCTGTCTCAAGCTTCAGAGAGCTGCAGACTGAACACCCAGCAGCCCCCACAGCCCCATGGACTGGATTTCCTCACCCTGGTCTTCACCTCAGGTTTCCCTGGAGAATACAGTTTTCTTTTTAAAATCCTCTCTGCAGCTTCTCCCCAAATTCTCATTCTACTTCTCTTAGAACAGGGTTGGCAGGCTTCTTCTGTAAAAAGCCAGATAGTAAATATTTTTGACTTTGTGGGCCATATTGTCTCTGTTGCAACTACTCAATCTGCTGCTGTAGAGGGAAGGCAGCCAAGGACAGAAAGTAAAGGAATCGGCGTGGCTATCTCTCAATAAAACTTTATTTACAAAACAAGCTGCTGGTGTTGAAAAGCTTTCTGTTGTTAATGCAGTAAATTTGCACTACTTTAAAAAGCTTTTGAACTGTTTCAAAATGGTATCCATTAACTGCTTTTAACAAGTTATCTTTTTCTCACGCGACAAATGTCCATCTTCACAAGAGCACTTTTCATGTATTGGGTATTGATCTTTAAGAAAACTTCCTCAAAAGAAAATGTACAAAAGATTAAAAAGTAAAACAGGCTGGAAGGCTGGATTCGACCTGTAGTAGGCTGTAGTTTGTTGACTTTTATTCTAGAATATTAGGCTAATGGTTTCCTCATTCCCTTCAGGCCAGAAAAAACAAAAACAAAAAAAAACAAAACACAGTGAATCCTGCTCAAGTTACATTTCACTGTGACCCAGAGCACAGAGGCTGAAGCCAACTCTGCTTTTCTCACAATGCTGTAGCCACCAAGGCCAGGGCAGCCTCGGGGACATGTGATTCGGGACTAGCAGCTCACTGGCTGCCCTGGCCAAGGCTGACTTCAGAGAGGAAGTCATACAGGTGCTCAGGCCTTGAGGTACTCATTTCTCTGAGCCAAATCTGCACTGGAAAATCTTCCTTTCTGACCTAATAGGAAGTAGAATCCTCAGCCTATTCCAGCTGTTATGTTCAGAGGAGGTTTCTTGGTCAGTTTCTTGGACTCAGTGATATTAGCTTTAAAATATATACAATCATTGACATAGGTCGGACACTGTTTATAGGGTTGCTATGGCAACTAAGTCCCATGCTGAGTCCTGAGAAAATAGACAACTGATTTGGGTGGAGATACATGCTTTTCGAATCCCACCCAAAGGGACCAAATAAGAAGGCTATTTTTAAGCTAAAGTGAGTGAGACATGTCCTGATAGGCCATGTGACTTTGCAGAGAGTCTCTGCCTGGACAACAAGAGGGACATTTTTAAACTGCTTTTCCTCCCATAGGCCCGCATAAGTTCCTAGAAGCCTTGCAGTATATAATTCACATCTGTACCCTCCAGCACCCAGCAATGTTAACTTTTTGTGCATAAGTGCAATGACCTGAGTGTAAGAGGTTCCTCCCTCCCAATCCTGTTAATGGGCTCTTCCTCCAGAATCCCACACTGTCCTTAATGTGGCACATTTTAAGAGCTCAGGGTGGTCCCAGGCATTTCTGCTCTATTCAGCCCTGTACCCAAATGAAAAAAAAGAGAAGCCTTATGGCCTGGTCGCTTTCTAAAGAACAGCGTGTCCACAGGAATAAATGAAAGACAAATACTTTGTAGAATTAAAGCTGAGAAATTCCTTCTATCTCAGGGTCTGTACAAATTGTCCTTTTAGATTTTAAAATTATGGGAGAAAAAATAGCCCTGTTGGTCTCCCTCGAAACCCAAACACAGCACCAATTCTGCTTCACGCCCCTATGGAACTACTGGAAGTCCTACGTTCTGTCTTTGGGCATCCTTTGGTTTCTGCAGTTGGTAGAATGGTGCCCTCTGTCTAAAGGCATCACTTTGATGATCTCATTGAACCCCATGAAGAATTGAGTGGGAGGCTGAGCTGCTTGGCAAGGTCCTGGCCCACCTGGAACTGGGCCCAGCCTCTGGACTCACCCAGTGCCCTTTCCAGGACCACCTACGACTGAGTGGCCTTTTACGGGCCACATTTCATCCCCCTCTACAACCTCCAACTTCTAACATCAGCCATAAACTCTCTTCCAGAAGCTTCCACCTCCCGGGGCTGGGAATTCTCTCCCTTGATTTTCACCCTGGAATCTTTTGTATTCTATAGTTCATTTATTTATTTTTTTAATTGCTATTAAGTAGCCACACAAGGCAGAAAACAGAACCAACAAGTTCAAATAAAGGGGATGATGCTGCCAGAGAAAAGAAAAACTATGCTAGCTGTTTCTAAAAGCTGCTGAGCCGGATGTAGCTAGGGGACTAGGAGAGAGGAAGATGGCCCTAAAACTGGAGAGGTTACCAGTGAGACTTCTCCTCACCTATCTGCAAGAACATCACTTAAATGGCACCCCAGTGCCTTGCCTTTGATTTCCTAAACCATCTCAGAAGATCACGAGGGAGGGGCTCACGTTTCTTCCCCAGCCAGACACTGTCCACTGGGCATGAGTCCTCGTTTGCTCACACACACACACACTCTACGTGCCTGCAGGAGAGGTTTTCAATGAGGCAGGAGAAAGCCCAATGGGCTTGAATATTTGGGTAGGGAACACACTATTTTCTTCTTAAAAGAGTTTTGAAAGACCAGAACATACTTTTTCCATAAATTACAAAGATAAAACACTAAAGAAGAAATTTTGCAAATTTGACAGGTCACTATAGGGTACGGCCCAGCCTTTGAGGGGCGGGAGTCCTCTCTCCTTTGCTTTTGGGGTTAGCCTTGAAGGGGAAGCCTGAGACACAGAGATGTAGCCAGACTTCTCTAGTCAGTCAGAAGGTTGAACTACTTGTTTCCCTCACACATACT